GTCCGAAGTGGTTCCTGGAGGATCCGAAGCGGTTGCGATCGGTCTTGTTCTCGGGGGTGCCCTGCCAGCTGCCCCCCGTCGCCATGGGCGCCCCGGGCCTGCGGGAGCCGTCCTGGAGGGGCCCAGCGGCCCCCGCTCACCAAAATGGCGACCCAAAACGCCCAAGACAGCCTCCAAACAGCCCAGGGAGCCTCCAAGACGCCCCAAGAGCCCAGACGCTCTCGAGTTCGCTCTGAGACGGCCCAGGAAACTTCCAACACGACCCAAAAACAATTTCACGCAAGTACCTCGTAGAGCTCTTCGGCAAGATGAGCTAAGAGGAATTCGGGCGCAGGGTGGAGCTTGTTGGCCGACCCGACCTTAAGAGACAATGTGATGACTTGGGATCGGTTATTCTATCTTTGTGCAATATTTGAAAGTTCGTTTTATAAACAGGTATTTTTCCCACCTGTAGCGGGTTATGCCGCGTCTGCCAGTTAAATTCCCAGGTCTGTAGCTGGAATATTACTATCAGAAGACTTGAGGGAACCGTCAGCCGTTTCGCGTCATCTTTACACGCGTTGACGGTTTTCTGTACTTAACTCGTGATTTAGGACAGTTACAGAGCTGATACTTACAGAAATCGATTCAGAATTATCAGGCGCGTTCGTGTGTTTCATCGAGAGGTTTGAAATCGGTCTGCTGCTCGAGCTAGGCCCGCAAAACTATTCGTATCATACGAGTCATTTTGACGAGTGTTGTCGGCTTCCCTTAACTGAAGATTTAGAAGAGCTACAGAGCTGGCGCATATAAACCGATCCAGTATCATCCGGCGCGTTTTTTCTCGCATTGAGAGGTCCGAACTGCTAGGTCGACTAAGCGAATATACATTTTTTTTAACAACAAAAAAAAAAAAAAAACGATGTTTTTTCTTCACGCTTGAGAGAGCTTCTTTCGTGTGCGTCGAGCAGCGCCGTGCGAGAACAGAGCTCTACGAGGCTCCCGGCGGTTACCTGGTTGACGGTTTACCGCCGGATCCCAGTTGTTGCGGGATTTTCACGCGTGCGCGTGTCCAGCTCCAGTATAATCCGCCGGAACGGCCCCAGACGCCCTCCACTTCGCTCTGAGACGGCCCACGAGGCCTCTCACACGGCCCGAAAACAGCCCAAGATGGCCTCAAAAGGGCCCCCGAAGCCGCCAACCAGCCCCCCCGAATGCCAAACACGATCCAGGGATGCCCCCCCTCGCCGAAATAGCGACTCCAGACGCCCTAGACAGACTCCAGGCACCCCATGTGCCTCCAAGACGCCCCAACGAGCCGCCGACAACATGCCCAAGGAGCCCCGAGAGTCGAATCCTATGCATCGACGGTTTCTAAACGACCTTTGACGGGTCCCAAGCGGTATCGAGCTCGCTCTCACCAAGCGGAGAATGGCCCCAGAGGCCTCCAAGACGGCCCACGAAGCCGCCGTGAAGACCCCAGACCTGTCCAAAAGGGCCCCGCCGTGAAGCCCCCGAGACCTGTCCTGAGTGGTCCAAATGGGCCCCCCCTCACCAAAATGACGACCCGAGACGCCCAGGACAGCCTCCAAAAGCCCAGGGTGCCTCCAAGACGCCCCAGGAAGCCCCCTGCACCCTTCCGAAGAGCGCCTCAAGACGGCAGAAGAGCGCCCCGAGACAACCAAGAGGACCACACGACTGCCCAGAGGGCCACGCGAGGCTCCCAAGACAGTTTCCACGGGGCCCCAAGACACCCCCATGAAAACCCTCTCACGCCCAGAGCCCCCCATGACGGCCCAGAACAATTCCATGACGGACGAAAGGGGCTTCGACCATGAATGTGTTCATGATGAAGATGATGATGATTATTATTAGTGTGATGGTGATGATTGTGATGATGAAGACGATGACGACGATGGTCATGATTGTGTTCATGCTGCTACTGAAGATGATGATGGTGATGATGGTGATGATGGTGGTGATGATGATGGTGGTGATGGTGATGGTGATGAAGGTGATGATGATGATGATGATGATGATGATGCCGATGAGGATGAGGAGGATGAGGATGAGGATGATGATGAGGAGGATGATGATGATGATAATGATGATGATGATGAGGATGAGGATGAGGATGAGGATGATGATGAGGATGATTAGGATGATAGAGATGCCCGCCAGCCCCCATTTCACGTGCTCCAGTAACGCCTCTCCGCAGCACGTAAACTTACGATGACGATGACGATGGCGATGACGATAACGATGACAAAAACGAGCATGCTGATGAGGATTGTGATGACGACGGCGGTCATGAAGATGAAGAACATAAAAAATGACTACAAGATGCTGAAGACGATCGTAGAGATGCTGAACATGCACGGGAAAGAGACAAACAGGGACGACCACGAGGACTCTACTAAGACGAGAACGAGCCAAATGAAATTCGCAGCCATCATGTTCCGTGCGTCGCAAAGGGTTGGGACCTCCACCAGAACCGAAGCGCGCGCGAAGCGCGCGAGCGTGGTTCCAGTGTACATACATTTATATATATATAGAGAGAGAGAGGTGTGCAGATCCATATGTGTGCGCGCATTACTCCACATCTACTTCACCACAAATACTGTAGCACATGGATTGCCCAACATGCCATGCACCACTTAAATTGCACAACATATACGGCTCAGCATAGATTGGCTAGAGACACACCGATTGGAGTCCACGCTGGTTAACAGATGGTTTTTGCATTCCCGCCTTTGTGGTTTTTGACGTGTCCGAGACGACCCAGCGCCTGAGCTCCCAAGAGGGGCCCAAGGCCTCCAGCACAGCCCCAAGAGAGGCCCAAGAGGGGGAGCACAAACTAACATTTTGAGCCCTCCACCCCAAGATGGCCCCGAGATTCCCCCAGAGGCACCCGAGATGCCCCCAAGAGGCCCCAAGAGGCCCCCAGAGGCCCAAATCAGGCCCAGAGACAAGGAGAAACACACTCCAAGACTGGCTTCCAAGAAGCTTCGGAGATGTCACTCAATAGGTTCCCAGAAGCATCCTGGGGGGCCTCTGTCCGACAACCCAGGCTTAGTGGCGGGATGGATCGGCGGACAGCAGATACAGATACAGACTTGCATATGGTGTTAAAGGTTGTGGATATATGCATGTACGTATGCACGCGCACATCACTACCTCTGTCTTGTCCTCGTTCTCTTTTTCTCTCGTTGTCTGCCTCTCGGAGGGGGCCGGGGGGGGAGGGCAAGCCACGGCACCCACGAGGCAATCAGGCCCAGGCAGGGCAGCTGGCCGCAGCCCCCTAGTTCGGGGATCTTCTGACCCGGGTCAATCCAGACCCGGGTCAGCAAGAAACCAAAAAACTGCAATGCAGGAAAGAAAAACTGCAACGCAGGTCTTCGCAAACCCGAGTCAGCCAATATGCGCGGCCGCCTCGCGGCCACGAGCGGCTCCCTAACCCGGGTCAGCCAGAGGGGGTCTTCGCAGGATCCTGCAAAATCCGGTGCCCTGGCTGACCCCTGTTTGTATTGACCCCCGTCTCGAGGCTCCCGACTAGTGCCAAACCACACCGGCCAGCGTGGGGCAGCGACGACAAAAGATTGGGAGGCAGCGGAAGAAGAGGAGGGGGGGCACACGAGGTGTCTGCTCTGGCAGGGAGGGCACAGCAGAGAGAGGGGAGGGGAGGGAGTGGGAGGGGAGGGGGGGGCCTGGGTTGAGGGCGGTGGGCAGGCGGCAGTCGTGGTGGTGGCCGTCGTCGCAGTGGTCGTGGTGGTGGGTGGGCCCGCCGTGACGGGGGACGTGGCGGTCGTCGCGGTCGCGGTGGTCGCGGTGGTCGCGGTGGTGGTCGTCGCGGTCGTCGCAGTGGTGGTGGTTGTGGTCGTGCGAGTGGTCAACGGGCTGGCGGGCTGGCAGGGAGGGACGTACGAGCCTCGCAAGCGAGAAAACACAGCCACGCCTGAGAGCAATTTTCTTACATGAGGGTCGAGTCGGGCAAGAGGAACAAGATAACATTTCAGCCCAGGGATCTCGCCGCCGACGCGGCTCAGCCGACGAAAGCTTCGCTGGCGCCAGCTCCCAGGCACGCAGCACCACAGCGTCTGTCTCCGTAAGGCGGCGACGCAGCGTGGTCCAGCACGAACCGATGAAAGACTCTATGAGATGTGGCTCCGTGGCCTGGGCCCTAGCAGGCGCCCCTTTCAGAGGGGGGGACGGAACGGCCTGAGGACAAAAGTATACCCGGGACGGGAGGAACCTCCTCTGCTTTCCCAGCCATTGCCCAATTGTTTTGATCAGCTCAGCCAAGGACATTTTATGATCACTACCCTCCCTCCAAGCTGCGGCCATGAGATTGTCGATTTTCCAGGGGTGCAAGTCTTCTACATCAGTATCTATTGGGTGGGGGGCGCTCTGGCCTGCTGTTGGCCCACGGGCCCAAGCCCCAAGAAGAGGCATGCGACCAGCACGAGGTAAAACGTGAGAACTCACGGCCATCTGCTTAGCTCTCGTGACAATAGACTGCGAGGCCGCCTTGCCGCATATGCAACGGAAGCGACAATACAGGTTGTGGTTCTGTTCGCACTGAGGACACCCCCGCTTCGGCTTCCTCGGGACTGGAAGGACGTCTGGGTCGTTGCGTGGCATGCGCTGGCCGTGCGCTGGAATGCTCCCCAAGGAGCCCACACTAACAGACGCGCTCGTGGAGCGCGTTGCACGAGGTACTTTGGGAGGCATCCGCGGACCAACGGTATCCGATTTGGCACAAAGGTGCGGAGCCCTCTTGTGCAAATGCATTGAGCCAAAACGGCTACGGATGGAGGAAGAGAAGGAGAAGCAGGAGGAGGAGGCGGAGCCGGGGAAAAGGTGAAGCAGGGAAGGAGAGGCAAGGGGTAAGTGGCGGGAGGGAGAGGAGAGGGGAGGGGAGGAGGGGAGAAGAGGAAGGGAAAGAGAAGCGGGAGGCGGAGGAGATGGGTGGAGGAGCAGCAACAGCAAGAAGAGCAGGAGGAGGGGCTGAAGCTCGCGTCCTCTGCGGGATTCCCGTTGATCTTCCAGATGTTCAGAAGATCGTAATATTGCCCATGGACGTCTCCGCACACCTGCGCTCCCCCACCCGCCACCAACCCACCCACCCGAAGCCTCCTCTGGCTCTTCATACCTGTCCCCCCTCCTCTCGTATCTCTCCTCCCTCCAACTGCCCTCCTCAAGCCTTTTCCTCTTCCCTCCAAATCGTGTCCCGACCTCTCCTGCAGCGTGTTCTGGTCAGAACTGCGAGGCGGGTCCAGCCGCGGCGAGGAAGTCCCACGTCTGCCTCCTCCTTCTCCTCACCCGCCTCATCCTCATCCTCCTGATCATCATCTGTTTGACGAGGCCGATGAAGCGCAGCACAAGCGAGAAGCCAGTTGCACTTGAAAGCCGAAGTCTTCCTCACCGAATGTGCAGAAGAGAAACACACCACCCAGGAGGAGAGGACGACTGGGATGGGAGAGAGAGAGAGAGAGAGCGAAAGAGAGAGAGAGAGAGAGATGAGAGAAAGACAGAAAGACAGAGAATGCGAGAGAGAGAGAGAGGCAGAGAAAAGAAAGAGGGGGGAGAAAGAGGGAGAGAGACGTAACAAAAGAACCATTGCGAAAGACCCAACCATGTGCACATGTGAATACTGCGGCGGTGCGCATTCTCTTCGGTGGAGCTCCCTATGGGGCCCAAAACGTATAAGGTGTGTGCCGAAACGGGCGAGGTGGTGCCATGTGGGCGCCGTTGCAATTGGGCTCTTCGGTGGAGCTCCATGTGGGCCCGAAACATGTGAGGGGTGTGCCGAAACGGGCGTTGTGGTACCATACGGGCGCTGTCACTGGGGCCTCAGGTGCAGCCCCCTGTGCGGCCAGGGAACGTGTGAGTGGTGTGCAAGAACGCGCGCGGTGGTGCCATGCGGGCGCTGCCACTGGGCCCTTAGGGCCTTAGGTGGAGCTCCCTATGGGGCTCCGAAGCGCGAGAGGGGCGGACTGCCGATGGATAATGGCAGTGGATATGATGATGCTGATGATGATGCTGATGGTGGTGATGACGATGGTGGTGGTGACAGTCATGATGATGATGCTGATGATGATGATAATGCTGAAGATGCTGAAGGTGCTGGTGATGATGCTGATGCTGATGCTGATGATGATGATGATGATGCTGATGCTGATGCTGATGCTGATGATGATGATGATGATGATGATGATGATGATGATGATGATGATGATGATGATGATGGTGGTGGTGGTGGTGGTGATGGTGACGCTGGTGATGATGATGGGGAGGGTGATGATAATGATGTTTATGATCATGACGACGACGATGCTGATGATGCTGATGATGATGGTGATGGTGATGATGATGATGGTTTTGATGATGATTATGATGAGGAGGAGAGGGATGATGATGGTGATGATGACGGCACGCGGAGAGTAGAGGCAGGAAGGTGAGGAGGGAGGACGAGGAAGGAGAGGAGAGGAGGAGACGCGGGGCGCTGTCTCTTTCAAACAAGAACCCAAAACCATAGGATGGCTGCCCGGAAAAAAACGAGATGGAGAGAGAGAGGGGAACAACATGAGAGAGAGAGGCAGAGAAGGGGAGAGATACACATAGATAGAGAGAGAAGAGAGAGGTAAAGAGAATTACATCATCATCAGCATCATCATCAACATCATCATTTCATCATCATCAGCAGCATGAGCGTCAGCATCATCAGCATCATCAGCATCGCCAATGATCATCACCACCACCACAATCGTCGTCATCGTCATCATCGTCTTCATCATCATTAGCATCATCATCGTCATCATCGTCATCATCATCATCACCAGCATCAGCAGCATCAGCAGAAGCATGATCAGCATCAGCATCATCAACATCATCATCGGCAGCATCACCACCATCACCATCATCAGAATGGTCATCACCATCAGCAGCAGCATCATCCTGATCCTCATCATCCCCATCGTAATGATCATCGTCATCAGCATCATCATCATCAGCATCACCATCAGCATCAGCATCAGCATCATCATCATCATCATCATCATCATCATCATCATCATCATCATCATCATCATCATCATCCGCATCATCGTCATCATCACCACCACCACTTCCATCACCATTACCACCACCGCTTCCATCACCATCACCATCACCATCATCAGCATCACAAACAGCATCAGCATAAACATCAGCATCATCAGCATCGTCATCATAATCATCATCACCAGCTGCATCAGCATCAGCAACAGCAACAGCATCAACATCAACACTATTATCATTGTCGTCGTCCACATCATCAGCAGCAGTAGCATCGCAACCCAGATTACCAACATCCACACTATCGTCATCGTCATCATCATAATCAGCTTGAGTCTCATCGTCAGCATCATCATCCTCATCAGCATCTTCATCATCATCATCATTGTCAGCATCATCATCATCATCATCATCATCATCATCATCATCATCATAATCAGCATCATCATCGGTATCAACATCAGCATCATCATCAGCATCATCACCATCAATCATCCAAACATCTATCCATACATCCCCCTCTTCACCCGTGCTTCCTCTCCCTTCGTTTCCCTCGTTTTCTCCTCCCTCCTCGACGGGCGCCATATCCCGCCCCCCTTTCTATCCCCGCCGTAATCCGTCTGTCGTCTGGCACGTGTATGTCGACGACGGTTGGCAGAGTTTTCAGCAGCGCAAGCATGTCCATCACGATTGCATAAGCGCACTTCCTGGCCAAGGTCTTCTCGTCCTTCTGCCACTGCATGAGCTCCTGTAGGGTCAATTGAGCAACTGGCCCCCGTATTACCTGACCATGTGGCGGTGGCGGGGTTGCATCTCCCCCCTCCTCTAAACATCCCCTGTCCTACATGACCGGCGACAAACCAGGAACAGTGCCAAACGGCACTTTGTGGCAGAATCTGGATCATGCTCGGGCGCCCCGCGATCACTTACGCCGTATGTCGACATGAACGAGGGCGAGGCTGGCAGATTGCCCCACCTGTGCAGGCCCACCATCGACGTACAAAACCACTGCACAAGGTGCACGCTGCGGCAAAATATTAGACCATGCGCAGGCGCCCTGCGATCATGATGACTTGCTGCTCTGGCGTGCTGAGTTGGGTCTTCGCCTGCGGCCCCGTCGTGGCCAATGAACGCGCAAGAAACACGTGCCAAACGACGAGAATCAGATTGGAAATCCCCCCCGTGCTCAGCCGTGTTCTGACGCGTCCGATTCTGGCGCCGCGGCTCGACACCCTTTCGGGTGGACTGCCCCTGGGCTGGGGGCCC